GGGGTGTGCCAATGATTTTTGGGGATTTGGAGTGGAGTCCCAGGTCGGAACTGAGATCTCATGTGGCAAGGCTCAGGGGCATAGGTGCAATAAGGAACAGGTTCATCTGTGAGGCTAAGGGACAGGTGATTCATGAGTCGAAGACTGCAGATGTCGTGCAACATAAGGCAGATGGTATGCGCGGTGCATCTCAGGCCGTCCGACCCACCCTTTCCTATTGAGACGGTTTGTGGCCTGGGTACACGAAAGAATCCGTCGTGGGGGTTACAGCCTCTTCAAGTTGGGCCTCCTCGTTTGGACGCGTGGCGGCTGGCGCCAGGCATTGCGGCTACGCTCGGTAACTCCGGAGGTTTAGGGGTTGCCGCGCCGTGTGCAATTTCTGCATGGCGTGGAGGGCCAATACTGGGCTATGGAATCCCACGGTACTGCTGTAAGCTGATGATAAGGGAGAAGGAAATGGAAGGGATGAAAATTAGTGGAGATGACTACGAAGCCGGGGGATATGAAATAGTGCGTGTGACGGGCCTCGGGGTAGTCAGGACCTCGTGGATCGTTAGTAGTGGCGTAGTGGAAGTCCTCTGCACACACCTGATCGTTCTCCGACTGGCAAGGGAATTCCGAGTACGGTCACGGAAATTCCCACTGGCTTAAGTTCTCTCAAAGGGGGAACTCCGTACCCATCCCAATACTGAAGGTGCCAAGTTCATCCAGTGATCGCGGACCGACCGAGTGTGGACACGTGTAGGCTGCGTTTTATGGGATCGTGCTTACACGTGCGCACACGAGGGGTTCGATCATACGTGGTCGTCACCAGACTGTCATGCAAAAGTGAAGTTCGAGTCCCAGATGCAAAATCGCCATGTGGCGGAGACAATCACTCAACAATCCAACCATTCAGTAATCCCGCAGACAACAAACATTTCCCGATCTGGCGAAAGGACATCGCATCATTGTTTACGCATGCATCAGATACCGCAACAGGATCGAACAGACCGTAATGACAAGCAAAAGATGATCAGGTGACAAACAATGACGACGAGTGTATCCTTTCAACCATCTTGTATACACAGAATCTCATCCATCCAATATACACAAAAGAGGAAGGGTCGAGATTGGGTATGACACCAGACAAGGGCCGAAGCCGAGACAAGGATGTTGAGGGGGAAATAAGGACAGATCGCCCAAGCCGAATTCAAAACTTATATACAAGACCTGAAAAAGAAAGACAAGGAAACTTGCAATCCCATATTCGTCCACACCAGCTCTCTCTCTCTCTCTCTCTCTCTCTCTCTCTCTCTCTCTCTCTCTCTCTCTCTCTCTCTCTCTCTCTCTCTCCCCGATGCGGACAGTCCGTCGTCACACACCAATCCATGAAGTTGTCACCCTGCTTAGTCCTTCTGTGCCCGTCAGGTTCGCCCGCACGCTGCAGTCCGTCGTAGCCTGCGCGTCAACCCCGCACATTCAACACCAGCCCGTTGGGTCGCCCAACTTCCACATCAACTCACCTCTTACTTCGCTCGTGAGCCAATTCTCACTGATCGCACTATCCCGAGCTTCCTGCAACTTTTTAAGAGAGGTATCTAATCGCGTTGCCGAAATTTATAGCGTGCATGCATGCGCGAAGAACACAGAATTGCAAGGACTTAGAAGGAGAGAGGGGAAGGGAGCGCCTACGGTCTGCATGGCCAGACTGCGGCATGGGGGACGTAGCCACTCTCCACACAACAATCCAATCATGCAGCCCGCGGGCTAACCAGACACATCAAAAGGAAAAGAGAGAGAGGGAAAGACGAAGCTCAAGAAGAAAGATACAGTTACGATGGCGCTCGCCCAAAAATTACAGTTACACATAAGATTAAGGGAGCCGACTAATCAGAGTTCCGTTGCAGCCGCAGAAAGAAGCGCGCAAACAAAAAAAATATCGCGCGGTAAAAGAAATCCCGAATTCCTAAGTTTCTAAATTCCTATCTAATGCAAAAATGCAAAAAACACAATTCCGAAAAGAAAATCCGAAATTCCGAGGGTCGTCGAGGACTTCGACAAGATTTGAAAAGAAATTTGAAAAGAAAGAAGCAAAACTCCCGCGCGATCATCGCGCCAAAAACCCGACAGCAGAACAAAAAGAAGTAGCGTCAACAAAAGAAGCGACGTCAACCATTATTAATCGCGCCCTTGATGGCGCACCGCTCAACCGTCCGTCCCATGACTTGCCCATCCCCGGCCTCAGCACTCCGAAAGAAGCGACGTAAAAGGAAGAAGAAGCGAGGACATTGATGCAATTTTCCCGTCGATCCCCATCTCCCGTAATTGGCCCAACCTTCCCATCTTAGGACCCCTCATTGTCATTGCGCAGAAAGTCGCGCGGCACGAGAAAGCGGTTCGTCACACTACAGGCCCAATTCAGAGAGTGTACCCATCAAGATTACCTAAGCAAGGCAGGCCAGTGCCCGCAGACACATCCTACCGTCCTTCCCCTAGCTTACCCAAGGCTAGGCAGAACTCATACTAGCCGGAGCGACTTATATTTCTACCCCTACCCTAGAGCTAAGCCATGCATGAGTAGACCCAGTCATATACCTCGTAGACCCCCCCAACCCAGTATCGTAGTTGTGTGTATGTGTGTGTGCCCAGAGGCTATGTATGTTTGTATGAGCCCATAGGGCCATGTGTTTTTGTATCTGCCCGAAGGCTATGTGTGCTCTGTGTAACTGTACAGCGAGATGTATGTGCCCGAAGGCCAGATATGTGCAGTCTATGTGTGCTCTGTGTAACTGTATAGCGAGATGTATGTGCTCGAAGGCCAGATATGTGCAATACTATGCAGAGGGAACTATGTGTTCGTTTGAAGAGATGACAGGCCAAGCTGGACAAGAACCCCCCCCGAAGTCCCAAGCCAAGCTCAAACACGTGATCTATGATATGTGACCTGAAGACGCTACCATTTGAGCAACAATCGCAAATGGCCCCTGTGTGTGATATGCCTGACTGGGGAGATCAACAGAACAACCACGAGCAACAACCACAAGCAACCCACGCAATATCAAGACCCGACATACAACACCATGGACAACCCTTGGGTGGTGCGCAGGCAGTGTCTGTATAAGCTTACCGTGCGTCAGCCCAAGGGGGTGTGTGTCCAGTCGTGCATCAATCTAACGCCCTGCCGCTGTCCATGCCCAAGGCTGCAATTGAGTGTTGAACCCGCAACCTCATACCACAATGCGCATTTCCAACCGGTGCTCTAACCACTGAGCTACATCAACTGGACGAAATTGCAATACAAACAACTTTTCCCTGAGGGTCTCGGACAATTCCCAACCAAATTCGAGAAAACAAATAAACACACTGGGCCTCGTTCCACACCACTTCACTTCACTTTCAAGGGCCGCACTTGAGCCCGCTCACAGGGCAATCTTCATTAAAATATACTTGAGCCTGTCACCATTCGACGTTACCCTCCACTCCACACTCCAAACTGAAGCGGTAAAGTGGCGGTGGCTGTTGGTGCAAGGGAAGGGGGGAGTCTACTACACCAGCGCAAAAAAAGCAAAAAAACAAAAAAATGACCCGGGGGGGGCGTACAGCACCTGCAACAGCCTCCTCACTCTCACTTGCGCCGTTTTGAAGTGCGGCTCAAGTGTGGTCGGAGAGGGGACTTGAAAAATTCACCGATTCGCCTGGGCCGCACTTGAGCTGCACTTGACGTTTTTGGCGGGCGTCTGGAGAGGCCGCACTTGAGCTGCACTTGACGTTTTTGGCGGGCGCCTGGAGAGGCGGAAGCCCAATCGCGATTAGGGAAAGTAAAAGTCAAGTGTAGTGCAGTGTGTAACCGTGAATATCTCAAGTATTTCTGAAGTGGAGTGGTGTGGAACGAGGCCCACTGTCTGGTACTACAAGGTCCTGCAAAGTTGTACCCTAGAACTCTGTGTACAACGTACGCACGTTGTACTCGATTACAACGTACCCTGTCCGTTATATTCGTATACAACGTCTGTACGTTTTAGGGAACAACTAGGCGGGGTGCCAACAAGGCACCTACTAACCACGTGCGTATAAGGTTGAGGGCCGACATAGTCGAGCCCACAACTTTCGCCTTGCAACGCCACAGCGCTAACCCAGTTGAGTGGGCTACCACGTCTTGGCGTACCTTAGTTTGGTGCGAGGGTCGAAATGCAGACCTGTGTCGAATCCGGGTGAAAACTGGACTCAAATGAAAAACGACCTCCAAAAATGGGGTTGGGAAAACACGCTGCCTACCTTCTACCGTCGGGCCCCGAGCACAACGCACAGCAGTCATTCTGAGGGTGTGTTGAGCTGGGGGGATGGCTGGGGGGCCCTGCAGGGGAACTGATAGCGCGTGTGATCCTCAGTGCACGATGACGGAGCGGCGTCGAAAGGGGCACCAGCATTTTACGTCAACATCGTTTTAATTTTTTTTTTCTTTCTTTCACGTCACCATCTGTAGACACCAGAACCAGCATATCTTTTACTTTTGTTACCAGTGTGCTAGTGTAAGTATGTCCAGATAATGTGTAAAGGGGTGTGTGTGTGTGTGTGTGTGTGTGTGTGTGAGAGAGAGAGAGAGAGAGAGAGAGAGAGATTTGTAAGGAAGATAGTGTAGAGAGAGAGAGAGAGAGAGAGAGAGAGAGAGAGAGAGAT